CCCCAGCGACTTAACACTGCTTTTGTGCTCCAGGGTCACAATTGTATTTAGCATAATGTTATATTAATTATATTTATAAATTATATTCAGCCTACAATTTTTCTTGAATATTGACAATCTTTTCCTCCAGAAGTCTCATTATCGTGATCTGTGCAGATGTTTTATTTTTATTCTCACTGTTCTCCATGGTGTGTGTTTGTTTTGTTGTGGTTCTCAAGCCTGTCCCCATCTCCTCTAGCACGCCTCTGTTATCTGTTCAGTCTCTGAGGCTCTGCTGATGAGCTGAATCAGGTGTGTTTGGGCTTCAGGAGCAGGCTGGGGAAGCACTGCTTGACTGACAGATCTGTTCCTCCAACAGGGAGCGTCTCTCCCGGAAGGCCAGTCATGAGAAGTACTGGACGTCGATGTGTGTCGATGTTCTGGAGCATCGCTGTGATTTCACTGCAGCTGAACTGCATTACCTGGCCTTGTATCTGCTGCGTGTGCGGGCCAACACGTCTCAGCGGTCCTCCGGCTGGGTCCAGATCAGATTCTGTCCAGATAAACACGGTGATTCAGCTGTCTGTCTGTCTGTCTGTTCCTGGCGCCGGCTTTGATTCTGCTGCTGACCCCGGCTCTTTTCCTCTGCTCTCAGCTGCTTTAGGTCCTCCGTCCAGCGTGAGGCTGAGGTCTGTTAAAGGACATCTAGAGGTCATCATCACTGACCCTGTGACCAGCTCTAACCAGTCCATGAAAACACTGCTGGACAACAATCTGAGATACCTCATCCAGTACTGGAGGCGCTCTGAGGAGCCTGAGGTATCTGTGCTCTCGCTCGGTTCAGCAGCGGCTGCATGAATACCGTCTGAACGAGGCATCTGCTGAGGACCAGTAGAAGCTGTGAAACACAGCAGCATTTCTGAGACTGAAAGATGGTGGCTTCTGATCTCAAACTACATTCTTCCCTCTCAAAGTGCTTATAGTTAAACACTGGGCTCCAATAGTCTGGCAACATGTGGGAACTCTTCTGTTTTTAAAGCTCTAAATAAAATTCTGGGACTTTTGAAATATGTAAAAGGGAGAAGAAATAGTTTCCCGCAGTGCTGTGTGATGGTTGATTGTAGCGTAGCGTCATTTGATGAGCAGTATCAATGTTTGGAGAGAAGCTTCATTATAACATAAGTGCCACAATACAAAATATGTTCACATCAGGTCATGTGTAATGAGTGTAGTTCGTTGTTAATTCAGAATTTACTCGTGTTAGCAGACATTCTTGTTTTACAGCCGTCACTAGTGTGTTTTAAATGCAGTGATACTGTATAGATGGCACTGCTGAGTGACATCATTTCCTGCTCTGACTGTCCCTGCAGAAGGCTAAAGTCCTGCAGACAGAGAACAATGTGGTGATGCTGACGGATCTGGACAGACAGACGTGGTACTGTGTGAGAGTCCAGAGCCGCTACGACTTCTATAACAAGATCAGTGTCTTCAGCGACACACACTGCACACGCACTGAAGGTCAGCAGCTC